AAGTCCGCACAGCTCGGAGTTATCTCAGTGGCACTGTGTGGCGATTAAGTGGTTAGCTCATTAGCCGCAACAATGTGTTGGAATTTGGGTTAGCTCTTCTCTTACATTCCCGCTGACTCACGCCCCTAACGGGCTAACGATCTGAACTTTGTGGCCAAAGGGAAATTTTACTCCGAGCAGCAGGTGCAAGAGTCGCTGCAAAAGAAAAGCACATTCCAGCTAATTATATGTGAGTTAAGTTCTAACACCAGGCCTAATGGCTCTAATCAACTAAGATCGACCATGAGCTGAAATATGTCCATATACAGAGAAAAAGCATTCGTATTTTTATCCAATCTTGATGAAATTACTGTACTTTATCAATATTATGTCAAGGTTCCCGATTAAAAAGTTATTCTTTTAACATTGTGGTTTTTATTGTTATCGAAAATCGATACTGACTTAGGGTTTTTTGTAGTATTACAATCGACTTCAATTGAGATCCAATACTCAAAGAATATTTGGCTTCAGCAGAACGGTTTACGGCATTGTGGCACGCAATTGCTGTTTGCGCTTGTGCTTGATGTCATCCAAGTTGGCTAGGGACCAGCGACGATTCCCAAAATTCAACATGCGCTCTATGGTGACCATCGCCTTCTGCGCACCGAGTTCCACATCGCACATCTGCTCGGCGCTGAGCGTGGCACGCACCACAATGGATACATGCCGCGAATAAAAAGTATGCACATCGGTTGATGGTACAACCTGACCAGTTGATGTGTCGCCACGCGTAGCATCAATTTAAACCAGACGCTGATGCACTTTAGACTCCTTCTTAAAATGTGTCGTAGGCACGTAGGACTTCTGCGAATTGAATTAAATGCTTGATTAATACAAGCAGATTGAAAACATATGCAGCTCAATATATAATACACACTCATGCTATTAATTATTATTTATAATAATACACATAAAAAGGCTTACAGCTCCCTCAGCGACTTGGCCACCCATTTTCGTTTTTTTTTTGCGACTAGTCACGAGAAATGCTCTCACCACAAAGAAATCTGCACCCAATTTTGACAATCCTCTATCCCCTTATTTGTATGCATGTATGCAATCTAGCGGCTGTGTGTACACACACATATATACATGCTTTTTGAGTGTTTATATGAGTTAAGAATATTGACAGTCATCAAGGAAGCAACAAGAATGTGCTGAAAGCACCAACAATTTTCGGTGTCTGCTTTGATCGGCACGCGTCGAAAAGAGACAAACACATTTGTTTCCAGCTATAATAAGCTGATTAGTGTTAGTGAACTGAATATTTGTCTGCATAAATTCCAGTGTTGTGTGATCAAAGGTAAGCCTAAAAATTGTGACGTCACAGTATCCAAAATCTATGCGATGCAGCTAGCTTATTAATATAAAGATTGTTAGTGCTTAAGGGTTATTTTACTTGCACAAATTACTTTATTAATATTAATATAAATGTATATTTAATCAATTTCAATTTAGCTATAGAATTGTAAACGAAATGTACGCCACTACCCAAAATTGCCAGATAGTAACTGTTCTGCCAAAGGAATCTTCGCTGTATAGATTGACAATCTGTAACATGGAAATAAAGCTGAACAGCATAACAGGACTCAGTTAGTTATTTGTGGTTGATTATCAGGCAATTGGGCATCGATCTATCCAGCAGACTCTCTTGTGGCAGTGGACGACGCAAACTGTTGAGATGCAGCTCCATCAAATTGGCGACAAATGCTGTTGGCCGATGAATACAGACGCTTAACACTCTATCAATATCTTTCGGATAGGCAGCACAAGCAGCAGCACCAGCAGCAGCAGCGGCGACTTAGGAGGCGGTTTGGTTGACTGAACGACATCAAAGCGAATCACCGCCGTCAGATAATAAAACAGACAAAAACAACAGCAGCAGCAACAACAACAACAACAAAAACAACAAAATTGCAGGTGCCAATGAAGAGTCCATGCGACGAGGAGACGACATCGAGCAGCCGCAGGTATTCGATCTTAAGTCTCCAGTCTTCAGTGCATTGCTTCGTCTTTGGGTCTTCGTCTCGGCAAGATCAGAGTCGGAGCGTGGCTAAGATAGTGGATCACCGTTTGGCTCCACCTTTTTGTTGCTGTGGCCTGCCGCCAGCGTTTCTCCGCTTAATTGACGCCTTGATTTGCAACCGATTCGTTGCAGCACGTTTTATAGCTATTTTTTCTTTCTTTTTATTTTCGGCCCTCTCTCTTTATTAATAATATATGTAGATATATGCATATTCATTGGCATATTTTTATTCAAATGTTTGTCCAATCTGCGCAGCTATTTTTGATTTTTTGATTTGTTTTTCTTTATCATATCTCATTTTATTTTAACAGCTGGCTGGTCCACTTAAGCGCTTCATTTTATTATTAATCAATTTATCATTGTTGTTAGTTATGCCCAAATTTATATGCGTTAAAGTTTTCCCGGTCTCCAACTGGCAGTCGTGGCCGAGCGGTTAAGGCGTCTGACTAGAAATCAGATTCCCTCTGGGAGCGTAGGTTCGAATCCTACCGGCTGCGGAGAATTGAGTATTCTTTTTTTTTATTTTTTATAATTCACAGCATTTTAATTGTTCTGAGAATTCTTAAATATCTGAATAATTGTTTTAAAAATGCAATTTGTCATGTCATTAAGAGGTAAAACTATTGAGAATTTGGCATACTTTTAAGATAATTTGTACAAGAAAAAACACTTTGAAAATTATAAAACAATATAATATGCAGCTGTAAAATATTCATCAATTTTTTATTTAATTTTGATCATTTTTAATTTAAAAATATAGTATGTAGACAAAAATATATTAACTTAATTTAGATTTAAGAAAAAACTATTAACAATTAATAAACAGAATATGTTGTTAAATATTAATAAACTAATTACTGTTTCCACATTGATTCTATTTTATTTATTCTATTTATCATTTAAAATTTAAAAATATAGTATGGAAATTAAAAAATTAATAAGCTTTCATTAAAAAATCCTTAATTTTTTTTTTTTTTTTTTAACAATAGTGTTTTAGTGTTTATCAAACTGATTAACAAAAGATATGTGCCACATACTTTTTTATTCATCCATTTAAATATATAATTTTAATTTTTATTTAATTCTCTTTAATAGTTTGCTAAGTTCTTAATCGTTTGCTAACTCCATTCTGCTTGCTTCAATCACAGGTTGCCTGCCACAGAAAGTAGCACGTAGCACACGCCATTTGTGGCTATTTAGGCTGCCATCAGTTTTGAGGATAACAATCTGTGAGTAATCTATAATTGGGCTCATTAGCATTTGGCATTTAAATAAATTGATTAACCTATCAAAGTCAATCACTGTCAGTGGTCCAAGTGGATTTCTAGCCAAGATCAAGACCAAAAGCAAGACCAGGTCCGCATCCCAGTCGAGTTACGTAATTACATGCTGGATCGCAATGTTGCTGCTCAAGTGGCACGATGTCCGAGGCGAAAGCATGTTGCCACCGCATGCTGCTGCCGCACAATAATCAACGGTGGTAGGCAGCCGAGCAGGCTCTAATTAAAAATAACAGAAAATATAGGTTACACCTCGACAAAGACCATAAGCAAAGCGCTGTAGAAGAGCCAGAATATGTGCATGGGAAGATGGCCAACAACAGATGGGAAACAATTTCATCAAACCAAATACGCAGCAAGGGGCAAGGGCAGCCACATAAAAAGGAGGCACATGCAGCGACTGTGGGCTGGGCAAGTGGCACTTATCATGCATGCGCCAAGTGAAAGAGGCAGCAAAAAAAAAAAAAAAATACAGCAACACAGAACACACTCGCACACACTTGCAGACAAAAATTAATGGCCTGTAATTACGTGCTGCAATTGCACGAAGGCAGACGTTGCAAGACTGCAAAGGGAATGCAATGCTATGCCCCAAACCGACACGATGACGATAATGAGGACGATGATGATGATGATGATGATGACGTCGTCTGCAGTTCCATGTCCATTGTCTTTTATAGAAAATTAAAGCCTAAATTTGCTTGTGCAAAATTTACGATGTGTTTACAATGTCTTAAATTATTGGTTACGCTAATGCGTTGCAGCAACGCGAAGCTTCACTTACTGCGTCTGCCCTCATTTGCCCCCCTGCTCGGCATCCGCTCTGCTCACGAAGATTTCCCTCATATGTTGTATGTCTGCATTGATGGTGAAGTGCGGAAGCTCTTCGAGTCCCATCAAATTTCCATAAATATTTGATAGCAGCATTTAAAAATAATACAGAGCGCGAATCTTAGGCACGCCGAAGATTACATACCCTTACAGCTCTGGCTTTGAACTGATTATAATTTGTGTTCTTAGATTGCTGCGGAGACATGCATATATGTCTATAATATGACGAATTTTAGATTTCAGCAGATTACCGCTGGTTATGCAATCTTCGAAATGTCCAAGATAATCGTTATTATTATTATTCCTTTAGCAGTTCCAGTCTTCAACCAAAGGCGGACATATACCAAGATTCAGCAAGATTGCTCAGTTAATTTTCCACATATAAGCCTTAAAAATCGAACATACATAATTATTCTGATCAAGAATATATATATATATGAATAAACTTTAAGAGTCCAGCAACGCATTCAGCAAGTCTGAAAACTAAATTAAAATACCATCTCGAAGGGTATGAAATCAATTCGACTTGAATACTACTTGCGGAGAGGGTTCAGTGAATTGTCTTCAGTCTGAATAAGGAATTTCTACTGAAAAATTGCTGATATTTTGATAGAAGCCTAAGTACAAATGGCTAAATGTTTTGTTGCACAACATTCCAAAGCATTTTGAATTTCTATGCAATTTTTATATAGATTGGATCAATTTCATTTAAGCAATATTACTTTCATAAATGAGAGAATGTTATTTTTAGAATATTATTTAGAGTTTTACTACAAATTTCAAACTAGGCAGCCTGTGCAGAATTCGAAATATCTGAATACAAAATTTTAATAATCATTTTAATGAGGAAAACAAAAATTTGAACATCATGGAAACCGAAATGTCCGCCTTTATAAACCCAAACCAGGATGCAGAAGTCAATCAAATGAAAGACATTAAAGTGCATCCATTGAAGAATTGCAAAAAGGAAATGATGCTCAAACAGGAGCATATTGACCAGGAGCATTCTGTGATCGAGCAAGTGCAACAAAGAGGCATATTAATAGAGGTATTTAGTTCCCCATACTATAGATGAGAATATATTAACCCAACTTAAACTGCAGAAGGGCATCAAGGAGCTAGTTGAAGATTGCGAGCCGAAAAGACCAACTCAGCAAACTGTGAAAGAAACGAGATATGAATTCGAGGAACAATTAAATTTAGATGCCAAGTATACCCCAACAAGGGGTGTACGAATAGAGGTAAATATATGTAAACAAACAACAATTATATATATACATATATACAATTGCAGAAGGGCATTAAGCATTGCTTCAATATTCAGGCAGAACAAAAAGTGGATGAAGACTTTCTTGAGTCCGCCGAGAATTTAATGGACAAACTGAGAGAGGAATACGCTATGCAATTTAATTCCGATATCCAGCCAACTAAAGCCAACGTTAAAGAAGTTCACAAGGAAGAGGATCTAATCGAGTCCCGAAATTATGCTGATGGAATAACCCAAGAGAAAATACATTCCTCAATGGATATGGCAACAATTATCGATGATATAAATCACTTTTCGGAACGTTTAGAGATTAATTGCGATAATATCGATTTAGACTTGATGGCACCATTAAATGATCTCGCCGTACAATCAAAGGCACTCAGCAATCATATTGAGTGTATAGATAATAAAATCAGTATATTGAATCTGAGAGTGGAGATTTTTTACAAAAAGTACAATCGAACACTGCTGAACAGGGAGAAGGCTGCCAGGGACATGATGAGTCTGCAGGTGTTGCGCGAAACGATTGGACGGAAACTCACCCAAATTGAAATGGAGATTCACTCATCCAAAACACGACTACTACTCCAGAGAGAGTAGTCCATGTACGTCCATGGAAATGAGGCTAATTTGTGAAATTATGGGTTGCTTCACACAATCTTAATGCCAGCCAGTTAGAGTTTATTCGTGGAAATCAACGGATCGCCCTGCTCGGCCAATTTCAATTATGTGCCCCATTCCAAATGGAGCAATTACTCTGATAATGGTCAGCTTGTTATAGCACTTTGCATACGTCTGTAATTATTTCGATTTGTAAAGTCATTAAAGGTGTGGCCATCCCCATTCCGATGTATGTCGCTGCGACAACTTCAACCAATAAATTTTCAAGTGTCTCCATTATGTGTGGTAATTGTTTGTCGGGAAGCAAGTCAAAGTGCTCTTGGCGAAACAGATCAATGGGGCGGGGAATACCCTAAACTGAGCTCTTGACTTAATAGAAGGCTTGCGGTTCTCAGTTTCTTCCACGTAATAATAACTTTTAGTTAACAAAATCAATCAGTTTATATTATTTATCAATTCGAAGGTTCTGTCTTTCCAGTTGTATCTTTTATTGATAACGTGAATCGATAAAATCAAATAAATTCGATTTGCCTTGAATTCATATTCCAAACTTGAAGTTTCTAACTCGAATAGTCTCTGAGATCGACTTGCTTTTATAGCTCCATAGTCGAACAAGCCAAAGTCGAGTCGCCTGTTGATGCTGATCAAGAGTATATATATTTTATGGGATCGAAGATATCTCCTTCTGTGTGTTCCAGCTTATGCTTTGTAGACTCATTTTCAGAGTGGTTGTTTTATTTTTGTTACTTCTGCACTTGCAGATCTCTAATAATCTTTAACTATCTTGTAATACTTTTCTTAAGCAACAATTATAAATTCATTTGAATATCTTTGCTTGAACTAAGTTGGCCGCTTTTGTTGAATACTGGTTGGAAATTGTTCACATCCAGTCAGTCGTTATTTATTTGCTCGATATACAAAACTAGAAGTCCTCTCAAATTGTTTTGTGCTATTTTTATTTTACATTGTTTGTTTTTCTTTTTTATCTCGTCTTGTCTGCATGGATCTGGCATGCAACAGTTGCTTCAATATGTCGCCACCTCTAGGCTCAAATTTTGTGTGTGAAATCCTGGACAGCGATTTGAGATACAGCATCACATCGCCCAGAAGCAGCAGCAGCAGCAGCAGCAGCAGCAGCAGCAGTAGCATTATCAATGCACCACAGCACAGACAACAACAGTTCAGGCCACTTCGTGTGGCATCAGCCAGCAGGCATGTTGCACCACAGATACGAGGCACACACGACTATCGTCGCTACCACAAGTCAGTTGAATCTATTGTCGACTTTGAGTGCATCTTGCCAGTTCCTGAAGCGACTGCAGAATCTGCTCAGCTGAACCATGTCAAACGCAGTGCGTCCGCAGAGCGACTGGAAGCCTATCGAAAATGATGTCGAGTGGACTGAATCCAAACTCTTTTTCTAGTATTGTGTTACAGCAGTGGAAGCCAGCGAAGAGCCAGAAGAGAATCGTTTAATATAATATATAATAAGTTGTGTTATCATTAAGGATTAGGCTTATGAGGCAATGAGGAAGCCTCTCTAAATGTTCAATAGAATTTGTTCAGATTTGAGTAAATAAATGACATAGACAGAAAAGATAATGCTGCATTATGGGAAGGTTATACAGTAGATATATAAAGCTGCCTCTAAGATATAATTTCATTAATTTCATAGTTGAATTTATCAATTTAAACAGCTTAAGTTTCCAGAGAACCATCTATAGACTCAATTCTTCCCAATCATTTATATTTAAGCCTTTCTATTCAGCTATTTAGAAGCTCCTTCATGGTTCAACTCGTTATGTTTGTCCCTTAAAAGCAAATCATTTTTATTAATGCAGGTCTTAGGAACGATAAAATATGTCGCTTAACTATTGAAAGGGTGAAAAATGATGAAGCATTTGGAAGCATCAAAGTTGAAAGAGATCAGCACAAAGCTTGGCAAGGAAATAAGTGAGTATTCATGGCAAAGTGAAGCATTCATTCAAATTATGCCTTGAGGTAAGTACGATGCTCAGGATAAGAGTGTCCCTTAAAAAAAAATAAAAAAAATAATAGAATAAAGCTTTCCATTAGATAATCAAAATTGCTTGCATTCAAGTCTAGAAGAGCCATTCAAGAAATTGCCGACTCGCTGCCACAGAAACAAGTTTCCGTCTCAAAACAAAGTTTATTTTAATCCCTTTTTTTTTTGTGTATTTGGCTCAGCACTCGTTAAAAATGCGACAATAACAAAAAAAACGAAGGAAAAAACCCGTCTACTACGTAAGTATGCAAAATACTACACGGAAACTGTGAATCAGGCACCGCCAACAAAATAAACAATAAACAAAACCAAATTGCGGCAAGAACAAAATAAACCGAAATAAGGTGAAATACAATAAAAAACTAAATAAAAAACAACAACTGCATTCCCAAAACTCAGTCAAATGTAAAAAATGAAAAAATTGCAGTTCACAGACACAAGACATACTTCAAAACAAACAACAACAAAAATAAAAAAATTAAAAAGAATACAAAATAAAAAACAATAAAAATTGAGAAAAAGAAGAGAGACAAAAAAAAGCGCATTAAGAAATCCGGTTTCGTTTTCAACCAGAACGAGAGTTGTGAGTTTTTGGAAGGTTGCGAGTAATTCTGCGCTTGCCCAGGATGGATGCAGCCAGCAAATTCACTGACTGCTCAGCGGATGAGCGTTTTGGAGTGGGAGAGCGGATAGACGCTAAGTGCTGAAGTGCTGTTATGAAGAGGGCTAACCAAACGAAGTTGGCAAAAAAAAAAAAAACAAAAACAAAAGTGCAAAAGGCACAAGCAAAACTCTCTGATAAATTGCAGGAGACGAACTTGAAATTTAGATTTCGAGAGCAACCGCAAAATGCTGCCAGAACGTTGGCAGCGAAGCGACGTTAACGTCGACGTCGACAGCGACGACGGTGCTGGCAGAGACACTGCACGCGAGCGAACGAGTTGAGAGCATTTTAAGCATTATAACTGCAGCTTGGGGGCGTTTTTGCATGTGTTGGTGAGCGACCGAGAGCGAGAACGAGAGAGAGCGAGAACGGGAGAGAGAGCGAGCGAGAGAGAGAGCGAGCGAGAGTCAGCTCGTTGGAGCAACGGCGGCTGCTGCGTCAGTGGAGTTTCTCTTATGCACACAAAAATACAGACACACACACACACACAGACCCACACACATAGACAAATGTTATTGCAGTTTTTATTGCCGTTGTTAATGCTTGCCTGCCAGCCTGCCTGCCTGTATGTGTGTGTAAAGGGTTGAGTGATTCCGTATGTGAATGTGTGTATGTGATTTTTTTTTGCTGCATTGGTAGTAGTTGCAGCGCCGTGCTTGTGTCTGTGTGTGTCTGTGTGTGTGTGAGCATTTTATTGATTTTTATGTGAGCATAAAAGTATCGCATGCTTTTCAGTTTTTGACAATGATAAAAAGTGGGGTAGAACTGGGCATCGATTCAAAATAAGTCCTTGTTATGCGCAAAGAACTTTAACTGTAAAATAAAAATGCCAGCTTGTCGAATAGTTGGCAAGTTTTGCGAAATGACAAGTTTATCAGGCGCAAAAGTTGCCTGCATAATTTGACAGTTGCCTTACACTATTTTTATCACCCACTTGCTCTGCTTCTCTCTCTCTCTCTCTCTGTCTTTCTCTCTCTCTCTTTCTTTCTCAGCTGCCCAATGGTTCACACGAAATATATTCTTTTGCTGCACATACAAAAGTTGCTCTGCACATAACTGCAGTCCTCTCTCTCTCTCATTCTCCCCCTCCCTTTCTCTCTCTCTCACTCTCTCTATCTCTTTTTTTTTCCTTTTTTCCACCCACGCACAATGGAAACGCATTTTTTACTCACACTCTTACAATCTGCCAGTTTTTTATTCAGACTTGGCCAAATTTAGTCATAGAAAATCAATTTTAAATGAGGAAAATATTCTTGATAAAAAGTTTTAGTTTTTGCATTTTTTACCCTGTAAATATTACGCTTGCTGAAATGCAAAAGTTCTCAAATCCAAGATTTGCAATTTTGTGCTAAGAAAGCTTCCATTTTACACAGAGAAAATCAATTTAAAATAAGCAAAATATTCTTGCGAAAAGTTTTCAGTTTTTTGTATATTTTACCCTTTATTTATATTGTATTTATTACCCTTTCTGGCCTGCAAAAGTTCTCAAATGTGAGCTTAACAAATCTGCACAAAGAAAACACAAATTTTGTACAGTGCATATGGATGTAAGTATAAAGTCCACCTTAAGCCACAACAATTGAGCCGGCTAAATTGTCGGAGATAGCAAGTTGACTTAGCCAACTTTTGCAACGGGCAGACAGTGCAACCTTTTGGCCCACAAATCCCACCACGTTCCACGTTCCACTCGCCACTGCCACTGCCACTGCCACTTAACTGACCAACTAAACCGAACCGAAACGAAACAGCGAACGACCCGCAGCCAAAAAGCCAATAAATAGCCCAGCAGGCAAATGCAAAAAACAAGCAGCAAAAAAGCAACAACAAAAAACAATATGCAAAAAACTCAAAGATGCACAGCAAACGAAGTTCGAGGTCATTGCATTCCACACACACACACACACACACATGACTACACTTATACATGCAACAATAAAACAACAAATGAATAGCGGAGCCCCTCTCAACACTCGCCGCATCTCATCTCTGCCACCAACATTGAGGGGGAAGCTAAAAAAGTTCAAGTCAAAATTGCAAATAAAGTAAATGGAAATGACTAAAAAAGTGAAATCCACAAAAAACGACCACGGCTGCAACAACAACAACAACACCAACAACAACAATAAAAACTGCAGTTTGTGGAGCTTTTGTTGTAGTTGTCTTTGTTGTTGTTGCTGTTGTTGTTGCAGTGTTCGCTCTGCTGCTGCCTGTGGGGGAGTTGGCGGCGCAGCGGCTGCCATTTGGCACAAAAGAAACACAAATCGTGAAAAAAAACTTTGTGTTCGCTGAATGACACTCAAAACAAGTACAAATGTATTTTTTTTTTCATCTGGCACTGCTCGACTAGACAATTATCCTGCATAGCAAATGGCTTAAAATAAAAATTAATATACATTTATAAATATTAATAATAATAATAAATATTCAAATATGTTTTTCGCTGGCTTTTGAAACCTTTAAACTCCACAGCTAACTGCTGAATACTAAATCCAAAAAAATAATTAAATTAAAAAAAATTGTTAACAAAAAAATAAATAAGCAAACAATAAATAAATGTACAAATAACTTGCATATATTAACAATATTAACAATTTTGAATAATAGATTAATTCCCAGAAGTTCCCAAACAATTAAAATAAATAAATATTCAGTTGGGATTAAAATAATAAGATTATTTCACAACTTTTATTAAGTGAGTGTATAAATACATTAATCATATAAATATATTATTTATATTATT